GCTCTCCAGTCACCAGCACGCCTGCTTTTTCCATTGCCCCCCCGCGCCTGCCCTTCCGGCACACTTAACGAGCACCGCCTGGCTCTTGTGAGTGCTCAGCGGGCAGCCCCGTGGCCTTGCCTTATTCACTGCACACCCCCGGGCAGCGAGGCAACCCGCTTGGGGAGCCTAGTCCCCAGCCCTGCCTCTCCTGCACCCGGAGCCCCGCCCCATGCTAACGGCCCCCCGGGCAGCACAGCCCCACTCCTGTACCCCAAAGTGCCGGGCCGGGCCGCCCCAGCTTCCCCAGGCACTTAGCAAGAGAGCTGGGCAGCACAGACTGAGCTTCCCCGACAAGGGCGTTCGTGGCTCAGGCGGAGGAAACCGCCAGCCTGGCCCCTCCCACAGAGCGCCCGCTGTAGGCGAATTGGCGGCGGCGTGTTGCTGCCCGCAGCGCCCAACCTCCCTGTGCTGGGGGGGGGGCCTCGGGCCACGGCGCCGCCCCGCTCCCCGGTGCTGCGGGGATGCAGAGGCGCGTGCCTGCTTTCCCCTCCCTGTGGTAGGGGCGGGGCTGCCTCCCCCAGCCGCAGCCGCATCGCCCCCGTGCTCCCAGCAAGCAGCCCCTCGCCTCCCTCCAAGCCTCCAGCGCTGGGCAGGTGTCACAGCCAAACTGGCGCCAGGGCAGGGGGTGGCACAGATGGAGCGGCCGCTGCAGCCGGCGGACAGGCAGAGGAGTGTGGCCCTAGAGATGCACCACAGGCCGCACCTCTGGCACCAAAACAGACAGGAGGGGTCTAAGCAGGGCCTGGGCTGAGGGGATCATGTAGCAGGTCATCCCCTATGACTCCCCTCACCAGTCACCTTTGCTTTTTAGTGTGCAATTTCAGAGACCTTCAGCCTGATTTACAAGAGCACTTAGCACTTATATAACACTCATGTGTTCAAAGCTCATTGACTACAGTTGCAGCTGAGTGCGCTCAGGGCTTCTACAAGTCAGCAAAGCTCATTGACTACAGTTGCAGCTGAGAGTGTTCAGGGCTTCTACAAATCAGCCCCTAGTTGTCTAAATTTGAGCACTCAAAGTGAGGAACACCCAGTTAGTGACCATCTGTGAAAAGTTTGGTGTCCCTGACTTGCCCAAGGGAAGCTGCAGGGATAAACACTGTTTTTAGATGGGCAAATCCTATTCTCCTGCTACAGCCGGAGAACTGAAGGAGCTGGTCAGCTTTTCCTCCCCAAGCCCAAAAGGAGTTATATCCCCCTGATTATTGTAGGGGCCTATGCCCCAGCCCAGCAGAATGGGCACTGGGTATAACAGACCAGGGAAGGTGGTGAGTTGAAGGGGGGCTAGCAATGACTCACCCCAATGTGGACAGAATGGGCAGATAGGGGCTCTTCCTATCTGCAGGGCTAATCAAGGCTTTTCCTTTTATGGGGGGGAAGGCGGTGGATCTTCAGGGCTCCAGCACGTGGGAGCAGGTCCTTGGGCAGAAGGGGCAGGTGCCTGCTAATGTGTGGCATACGCCATGCTCATCACAAATACCATTTTTAAGCAGAACACATTTAAGATCACCTGCAAAAATCCTTAGTCCAAACACTGGCACCTTCCTGACTATTTTATAGTCAGAGATTGGAACTATGCTAGCATCCATAATACACAACTATGAGAGAGACTGATCACTGTTTGACAGACCATCGATTAATAAGATTAATCACGTACTGCAGTTTGCTCCAAACGGTCTGAGAAATTCTCTAAAATGCCTGACAATATCAGTGACATTTAAGAGCACTGGACTCAACTTAAAAATACCATTCACAACACATGTGCTGAAACCATAGGATATCCCACTCATCAGCATCAAGACTTGTTTGATGAAAATCCTAGTATTAATTCATCAGAAAAGAAATACATTTTGTAATTAGCAAAATGATTCCTCTTAGACAGTGGTGCTCAACCTTTTTTCATTCGCAATCCTCCCCCCTTCCCCCCCCAAAAAAACCCACACCAGGAACATTTTCTTGCAGCCCCTTTAATTTCAAATTCCGGTCTGCTCCCCTGCCGAATGTACACCGAGCCAGGAAAAGGTCAGCCGGCCGCTGCAACCTCCAGGAGGACAGCCGCGACCCCCGACCCACGGATTATGCACCACTGCTCTAAGAAATAAACATGAGGCTTATCACCTGCTTAAAGCCAAAATTCAAAGGAGCATGCATGACTTCAAAAACAAGTGGACGGTCTCTGAGATCCAGGGTTTAATAGACCAGGATGATGATAAACTTCCTTCAAGCAACGAACGCTACATATGGGCCAAGTTCCAAAGGCCTAACTCCCTTACATTCCCAGGATAGCTCCAACCTGCCCAAGGACAATGTAACCATTAAAAACACTGGAAGTAACACTTTGAGTGCCTGCTAAAGGACAAAATCCATGGTCTCTGAAGCCACCATTGGCTACGCCTACACTGGCATGATTTTCCAGAAATGCTTTTAACGGAAAAGTTTTCCGTTAAAAGCATTTTCGGAAAAGAGCGTCTCAGTTGACAGGACGCTTTTCCGCAAAAGCACTTTTTGCAGAAAAGCATCCGAGGCCAATCTAGACACGCTTTTCCGCAAAAAAGTCCCAATCGCCATTTTCGCGATCGGGGCTTTTTTGCGGAAAACAGTACTGTGCTGTCTACACTGGCCCTTTTGCACAAAAGTTTTTCGGAAAAAGACTTTTGCCCGAACGGGAGCAGCATAGTATTTCCAGAAAATCACTGACGATCTTACATGAGATCGTCAGTGCTTTTCCGGAAATTCAAGCGGCCAGTGTAGACAGCTGGCAAGTTTTTCCGGAAAAGCGGCTGATTTTCCGGAAAAACTTGCCAGTCTAGACACAGCACATTGAGTTTATTCCACAATCATTTCTGAGGAACCAGCAGAGGGAAAAATTGAGAATACGGGAGACAGTTGCCAGGCTCTCAGTTCCTGTGTCTTATCCCCCAACATCCGGGGGAAGCGCCTGAAGGCAGAGTCCTGCTTAGCCCTACAGCTCTGCAATGGAGCATGGTCAGTGCAGATGGAATCTTCAGAGAATGTATCTGTCAAATTCTATAACAAGTCTTTGCTGAGCATGTGAAAACTGAGATTTTTCAGAAATTTATAAATTGGCCAAATTTGATTAGTTTTTCCTGGGACCAGCAAAAGGTACATCGTAGGCACAAATGCTACGCCACCTCAAGCCCACACCAAAGCAGGAGAGCACCAGAGCTCCTCTATGACATGGCTGTAAAACTTATTTAAACATGAAAAAGAAAAAATGTATTTTTCCCTAAATCTCATGCTATGAAAGAGCAAAACCATTTTTGCTGAAACTTTCCCCAAAAATCTGGGCACATGTACAGGAAATTTCCGCCTGAATGGTTACATTTGGCAAAGGAAAGAGGGTCTTATCATGGGAAGTGATGGACAACCTCATGACCAGGCAACACTGTCAGCTTTGCCCATAATACAGGAGAAGAGCTAAATAAACATCACACTGTCAATAGCTATGTTGCCAGCTCTTGTGATTTTTATTGCAAGTTTTGCAACATTCTGTTTTTTCTTAAAATACTAGACCCTGAAGTCCTGTGATTGCAGGAGAATTTCAGCTTTCATATACAACTTTTCTAGCCCTTATGGCTGCAGATAACCCTAAATATTCTAAAACCACTAGGCAAATGAAAAGATCTCCCCCCCCCCAGCATCTTTTTAAAATGTCATGTGATTTTTAATCCAAATCTGTGATGTTGGGGTATCTGATTTTTTTTGAATACTAGGGAATAACGCATTAGCCTCATCAAACTGCCAAGCAAAAGCTAGTTTACAATTTACCTCCCATCCTCAAAGACAATCATAGATGGAAAAGCCTCAAATCATACAATGCAGGATTATTGATGCTCCTTTGGCAGTTGATTTTCTCTATAACCTTCTTATTTTTAATATTTTTACTAATGCTGTCTTACAGTGCCAGCTGATCAATATCATCCACGGTTAAAGGGAAACAATAACATTTTCCTCCCCAATCTATCACAGCAGCCACCTACAGCCTTTGGAAATCCTATAACTCTTGGATCCGGTAAAGCAAGCCCCCAGTGGCCAGTCTAGTGCAGCACCACCGGCCCTAAGGCAGCTGTCCCACCTCCACTGCAGAAATGAATCTGCGCCAGTAAACTGTTTCTATAGCAGCAGCAAAGCTGGAAAACAGAGCTGGGCAGAGGTAGCACAAGTTTCCAACCTCCCAAGGCTTCTAGGCTGATATTCTTCTGCTCTGCTCCTCCTGAATGATACATGTAGGAGATGCAGCCTGGTAAGTCCCAAAGCCCAGCAATGCTGCTTGTATGCCTGTGAATAACCAGTGTGTCACCAGTGCTGGGGGAGGGGGGAGAATCTGGGGGAGGACTGTCCTTGAGACTAGGCTATAATGAAAATACTGCTCTGATAGAGGCAAGTTACAAAGGAGAGCATTTGGCCATTTTACTTTATTTTCAGACAAAAATGGGCTGTGGCATAGAATAAAAATGCCTCCTCCTCTCCCCCCACTGTACTCAAACTAGGGATGTTAAAATGTGTGTAATCAGCTAATCGAGTAGACGATGGAATTTCCATCAACTACTCGATTATTCAATAAGGAAGGAAACTGCAGATGCGCCGCAGGGTTAGCTCCTGGCCCTGGGAGGTAACCCCGCTGTGGCTCTGCCTTTTAAATGTATTAAGAGCAGTCAGGCTCTTAATATATTTAAAAAGCAGAGGCACAGCGTCTGGGACCAGGCACAAGCTGGAAATCAGTTGATTCCCGGCTTACGCCTGGTCCCCCACTACACATCTGCCTCCCCTGCCCTCCCAGACGGTGCTGGGAAGAACCTGCTTTTAAGCTGGCTCCCCCCAGCCTCGGCTTCTGCTCCCTCCCTTGCTGCCTTTCTCTCAGAGGCAGCAAGGGAGGGGGGAGGAAGCAACTAGTCGAGTCACTACCTGACTACCCGATAAGCATGTCTACTTAATGTTTCACTTTACTATGTATATGAATTGGAGTGTGCATTAGCAATATTTAGGATGCTTGAGTTTTAAGAAATTCTCTTCTCTAAATACAAATTCTTACTCAAAGCCACCCCAAACTGTCTCTTTTTAAAATAAAATATGTGAATTTCAGTGAAACAAGTGCTTGGTATTAATCACAATTAAAGATAGTCTTATTTCTGAATATCTGTGACAAAGACAACAGAGTGAGTCAAAACTGTCAACAAGGTTAAAAAAACCATTGTTCAGAAACCTAGAAGGTGTATATTATAATAACACAGCATAGTCAAACATTAGACCAAAAAAACCCCACAGGGTGAGAAGAAAGAATGTCAGCCCAATTCTGCTCGCCTTGTTCATGTGCATAATACTATTACAATATTGCAATCAGTAGGATTAGATCCATGGACAAGGTGATCAGAATTTAACACTTCAAGATGTATCTAATCATGAGGAAAATTGATTCCATGCATCAAACCTTTGAATTTTAAAGATTATGTCAAATATCTGCATCAATGATATAGTCTAGTGTATATAACTGAGTGTACTGCGTCATCTTTAATTCCAGAAAAGTCAAAGGAATTCACTACTTCTAAAATGATTCACGCACACAACTTGGCACCTAGTTTCAAGTGAGTAGAAAAGCATAACAACATCCCTTAGGGATTTTCTGTGAACTCTATTTCAAAAAGGTACTTAGTGAAGACTTGGATGGACAGCACTGAATTATAGTCTGATTATAGTCTGAATTATAGTCCTACTGCTGGAGCCCAACTGGTTCTTAACTTGTATAGATCTCTGACTTTTTGTACACAATAAAGCTACTAACAACTCTTCCCCAAATTAAACTACTTTTTAAAATTGCTTTCCTGGCATATGAGAAGTTTAGAATCCCTTAGTGTCTCGTTTAACAGGTTATTATTTAGATCATCTCAAAAGTGTGTTAAATGGCTTGTTAGTGTAGACAAATGTCAGAGTCCATGTCCCAAAGAATTTACAGTCAGACAATGTATAAAAGGAGAAGGAGACAGTATAGAAGTTAGGTAACAAGCTACAGACTAACAGTTTCATTTTGCAGCACTCTGGCCCTGATCTAACAAGGCACTTAATTTTAAATACAATTAATTCCATTTGACTCAGTAGGACTATTCACTTAAGTGCTTTGCTGGGTTGAGGCCAGAGCAAAGATGTTAAGCTTTCCCCTTTCCCCCCCAATTTTCTAAGGTCAGGTCTCTCATATACCCCCCTCTGAGAGGGTAACAATTTATCTATGATTAGATTGCCACGTCTTACTAAATAAAGTGCACTGTCCATCATTGCAGGGTTTTTCCTCACATACACCCTGATGAAAACTTGTGTGCCATTAGGAGTATGTGTACTGCAGTTTGAAAACCACTGATAAAAGATATGCAGTCACTCACTTGGTCACTGCAGTATCCAGCCAGAGGGAAGGCAGTAGAAGAAAGTGTAGGAGAGGAAGACATACCTCATGCAGCAAAGTCATTAGGAAAATGGTATTGCATTGTGAGCTGCTGTTGTGTTTGCAAGAGAATCCCAGAGGACCCAAGGTAGTGAGGCATTTATGGTGTTTTAAATGTATCACTTCTCCACATAGCCTATCACAAAACTAGATTTTTTTTCTTTTTAAGGAAGCTTGAAATTCCCTGTTTCTGGGCAAACTGGATTATTATAGTTAACAGTGCTAACTCATTGCTGCTCATTAAAAGAGGGATAAAAAAAGAACAGCTTCATTTAATAGCCTCAGATTTCACTTTTGTATCATTTTAGAATACTTCAGACCAGTAGAAATGTTTCCATGATTTAAATTCCAGTGGAAATAGCATTTCTTTAAGCTAACCCAGTCACAGGTGATTTGTGGTAGCACATGGGAGGTCCCTGTCCTCCTGCCAAAATCTTAAATTGCTAAAGGGGGTGCCTCCTCATACCCTCTCCATGTGGCCTTCTCTGCACCTCCTCTCTTCACAGGCACAAGTTGCCTATTCTTGTAATGCATGCAGCCCTGCCATCAGAGTACTGTGATAATGTATAAATACTAAAACTGGCTAGAAATACCACTGAGACGGATTTGTTCCTTTGGGGGTCTAACAGAAGCATAATGCTTAAAAATATATGTTTTAATATTAAAAATGAAAGAACATACAGTGGAGTTAACAAAATGAGCCAGGAGTTGGACTATTTCGCTCCCTTTGTCTGAGAAGCATGCAAAGGGGGCCTTGAGAAACTGTGGGAGAACTTCCTTGAATATCCCCTCCCAGGAAAGGAGTTAAGGCCCTGTGAAGTTTGGTGGAGCCATGTATCCACTGCCCTGATACACTATAGTCTCTCCTACCCCTTGCTAACCCAGCTCTGCTAAGAACATTTATACCCTTCCACACCCGCACATTTATATCCCCTTCACTCATAGGGCTGGAGCTTAGGCCTCAGCTATTTAGCAAATAAAAGTTTTAGGGCTCGATTATGAAAACTTCAGGGCCATAAAGGAGTCATAACTGTCCTGGGGAGAATTTCCCAATGTCAGCAGTGACGCAGGACTGTCATAAATGCCCCTCCTCACACAGCAATGTGAGAAGTACTGAGACACAAACACAGAAAGAGACAAAAAGAGAGAGAGAGAGAGACTGACAGGAATTTCTGGGCTGCTTCACAGCCCTACTATAAATTAGAGCAGCTTATAAGCTGCTAAAACATGTTTGTGCCTATAGTGGCCCCCATAGCAGGCCTGTATCCAAGGAGAAGGAAGGTGCAAAAGATACATGAAATCACCCTCACCCAGCCCTACTCCCAGAGTCCCAGGCTGCACCTGCAGAGCTATGGCACAGCTGCAAAGCAGTGCTTCATTGTTTAAGCTGCAGCTGTGGTGACTGGATAGACACAGAGGCAATCAATAGTGTGAAATGGGAGGTGGAGAAGTCCCAAGAGGTAGAGAGACAACTGCCAGAACAACCCTTGTGGGCGGGGCTTAAGGGCAAGGAGATGAGAACATGCCTGACGTGATTCAGAAGACTGAGCACAGCTGAGAGAACACCCTGTCCTGGAGATCACAACTTCCAAATAGCAGCCAAGGCTCAGCACAGCATTCAAACTAGGGATGTCAACATATAGATTACTACACAATTAACCAATAAGCCTGGGCTTAATCAATTAATCCTGTCAACTCCCTGCTCCCCATTCTTGCTGCCTCTCTATCAGAGGCAGCAAGGAGAGGACAGGGAAGGTGGGAGTCAGCTTTTAAGCCAGTTCCCCATGACCACCAGATCCCAAGGAGCTGCTTGCCTCCCCCCCCGGGGCCAGGGCAGGTGGAGTTGGTACATGCAGAAAGCTGGCTTTCAAGTTGGCTGCCTGCACATATCAGCTCTTATCAGCTGCTTGCTTCCCTCCCCCCCCCCCCACACACACACTGCTGCCTATCCGACACCAGCACAATGAGGGAAGGGGGACAGGCAGGCACCAATACATGTGGGGAGCAGGCTTCTACTTGCCACCCCACACTGCTGCCTCTGATGCAGGGGTGGGGCCAGGAGTGCACTGACTGCCGGCCTGTCCCGGGGACTATCGAATAATTGTGTAACCACTAAAATTTGATGTGGTTACATAATCAATTGCTAACTAACATCCCCAATTCAAACTGTTAATGCTGGACGTGGCACATGATTTTAAAAGCTATGACAAGGCACAAAATGAGACATACAAAAACCCAGTAGAGGAAGCACCTTGACACAGATCATGGATTTAAACCCCCTTCTGTGTAGGACATTGACTGATTGAGCTCCTGCAGTTAGCAAGCCACCACTGAGGACGTGTGGGAACTCCAAGTTGCTGTAGGATTGGCTTTTACGTCTACACTGCAATTAGATGTCCTTGACTAGCCCATGCCAGCTGACTGGGTCTCACTGGGCTCAGGCTCTTGGAGCTGTTTAACTGTGGTGTACATGCTCAGACTCAAGTTGGAGCCCAGGCTCTAGGGCCCCTGAGGAGGGAACCCAACCAGCTGGCAAGGATCAGTTAGTTATTTGTTTTTAATTATGGAATAGACATATCCTCAGAGAAACTGGCCTGAATGCTGGTGCCAATCACCTTTTGAATTTGGATAATGGGGGGGAGAGGGTGTCATTAATTTGGTTTTTCATCTAAGATAGGAAAATGTTTATTTGAAAATAAATCAGTGAAGATGGATCTCAAAAATACACCGTCTATTTATGCTATAAATATTGAAGTGTCTTAAAGTCAAACAGTTTACACTGACTGTAACTTCCAGTCTAAGTTGAATCGGAAGCTCTTATCTACTGAAGTCAGAACTAAAAGAAAAATAATGTGCTTGCTCATAGATCCCGTGTTTTTCTGTCCCGGCCACTGAAAACTTGTGTATCAAGGAGAAGATAAAATAAACTAAGGCTTTGCTGTAAAAATGATCTGTTCCATCTGTAGCTCAAGGCTTACTACAAATAAAAATAAAAACAACTAAACCAGAACAAAACATAGGCATGTAGCCATCTTTGACTGATTATATTGCCATCCGAAGGCCCATTACTTGGTAGCAGGAGCCAGTAAGACGAAAGCAGAAGATGAGATTCCACACCTACCTCTTGGTTTTTATAACAGACTTATTTGCCACTGCTTTCATAAATGTAACAGTCACTTTAAGAGGGGCTCAGGTTGATTTTCAAGGGAGCAGCAACTACAATTGCCACTGTGGGTTTAGTATCTGGAGGATGCTCTGTGGGGGAGAAGGGGGGAGAAGCGCTCTCTCGCTTTTGTTTTTCTTTCTCTCTGTGCAGACAAATAGACACACTGAGTTCAATTGAGGCAGAGTACATAAAGAACCTACAGAAAGAAGTCTACCTACTGGAACTCGAGACATCGTTTCTATATCCTTTAAATAATATAAGTTTGGGTGTTGTTAAACAGCTGTTGATTCTCTGACAGAATACCATATTGCATCTGATATATAATTACAGAAAGTTGCAGCATGCGTTTGGGAAACTGTAGATAATTCTCCTGCTAGAAAACCCCCCCAACATAGCTGAATCATTTCATTTATTGTAGGACACAAAAACAATTCCTTTTGTGTGGTGGTTGTCTGGAACATGTACATGAATTCCCTTATTTTGGGAGAATACAGGCCTCATGGGCATGCTGTTATCTTAGTTTGAGAGAAAACTGAATTCTACAGAGAATTCTACACCACTGGGGATGGAGTATAGCAGAGACTGAGACAGCCCCTCTCTGACTGAACTTTTGTCTTGGATACAAAGTTTACTTGCCTGTTTAGGGACTATGGTCTATATTACAAATTTAAATTGATGCAAGGCAATTTATATCAACCTAGCTGTGTCTGTGTCTACACTTAAATTGGTCACCCACTATTGTAAGCTCCCCATTATACTGACATCATAACACCATCACCCAAAGCAGCACAGCGTCATGGCTGATGTACTTAAGCGTATAACTTGCCCATGCAGAAACTGTTAGTTAGGGTTGACATAACTGTCCTCCAGCAGCTATCCCACAATGCCCCACCCTGGCTGCTTTTGTCCCTACAGTGAACTCCAGTGCCTAGGAGGGGTCACAGAGAGTAGATGCCCTCTTCCTCCTCATCTTTAAAGTTGTGCACATTATTTAAATTCTTTTTTCTGGTTGCCTGGCTTCGTGAGCACATCTCACAGCTCTCTGTTGTTGAGTGCAACTGGCCAGCTGATCCATGTCAGCAACATACTTCAGATGCACTCTTGCATGAAGTAGATAGAAGATACTGGATCTCCTGTGCCTATGAGGAAAGAGGATACAGCTATGAAACAGATGTAGAAACGTTGACATCTACAAGCAGGTTGCTCAGGGGAAAGGGTATGACAGGGACTGGCAGCAATGCCACATGAAAGCGAGGACCTGTGGCTGACATACTTGAAGGCCAGACACACCAAAAATTGATCCACTGCGGAGTCACAGACATGCTGCTTTTACATGCCAGGTAGTCTACAATTATCTGCTGAAAGTTTCTAAGGATGGCTGCCCGATTTCTTCTTCTGTGGTCAGGCACTTTCCCATAACACTTAGTTACTTCAGCAGGCAGTATTGCAGTACCCAGATAAGCAGCAAACGGGCAGTTGGTGCCCAGCTTCATGAGCAAGGGGTCATCCGGGTCCCCTAGGATTACTCCGATCATTTCAAGGACCAGCCCACACTGATGGTGGCAAAGTGTCCCCACTAATCCACCCGTACTTGCATAACCATAGAGAAGCAGTCTTTCTTTGGTGGTTTGGGGCCAAAATAGAGGTACACGCTCCATCACAGTTTGGGAATCCCATTGCTGCAAAGCCATCCACTCTGTCCTTCATGTTGCCAAGAGTCGCAGTCTTGCATAACAGGAGGTGATTAATGGCCCTGCACACTTGCATCACAACACCAGGTGGATTTCCCAATTCCAAGTTGATGCCTGACCGATCAGGAACAATCTAGCATTGCAAGTTTCCACAGCGTAATCACCATTTGCTTCTCCACTGGCAGGGCAGCTCTCATTTTGGTGTCACTGCACTGGAGAGTTGGGGCAAGCTCAGCCCACGTATCCAGGAACAAGGTCTTGTACAGCTAAAATTTCTGCCACCACTTCTTGTTCCAAAGCTCCATTATGATGGGTTCCCACTTAAGTGCTTGTTTCTTGGCCTAGGCGAGCAGCAGCCACAGCTGCTTCATGAATAGGGCAAAGATTAGTCACAGGTATTTTACAAGTCATGGACAGGGCACGGGCGGTAAACAAAATTCACAGCCTATGACCAGTCCGTGCTCTGAGGAGGGGACTCTAGGCATGTTGCAGGTGTCCTGGGGCAGGGGGTAGCTCAGGCACTGCTGGTGATTTTGGTCGGCAGTGTGCAGCCCAAGACTGCCACTAGTGCTCTGGGACCCAAGACCACCATCACTGCTGCTCTGGAATGGGTGGGGATGTGGTCGCCTGCTACCGTCATTGGATCTCTGGGTGGAGGAGAGGCATGCAGTGGCCCTAGACTGCCCTTAGTAGTACTGGCTGCTGCAGAAGTCACAGAGGTCCCCAACAGTCATGGAATCCGAGACTAAGTCACAGCCTCATCTTTGAACACCACCAACAACCTGGAACCGGTTCTCGCCATATCCCACGTCAATCTGTCCTCCAGAGAACTGGAACATTCCCCACTCAATCAGTCCTCCTGTGGCTCTACAAATATTTCAGTGCATACCTCCTGTGCTTGCAATGCTCCTCACGATGACAGTGCAGAACTGGGCAGGCTCCATAATTCTGTCAGAGATGGAGGAGAGCAGAGTGCACCATCCAAGTTTGTGAGCTTTTGGGGAAAGGGTGCAAAAATTATAGGATACTGTTCATATTATAGGATGGAGACAGTTGCAAATTGGCAAGTTGATCCCATGCTCTTTGTCACCCCTGCATGATTAGTGTCATCCCCATCATGTACTGCCAAAGCTTCCCAAAGACAGTGCCAACTCACACAGTGGATGCCTACGCATGGTTCACTACACTGCAGCAAGCCAAGCACACCTGATGACTACACACATCAACAACACAAGGAGCCACGTACAAATGCACACAAGCAATATGCTAACTGAAATGGCTGCATGCCGATGTAACTTGAGGTGACATACACTTGGGCTGTGTCTAGACTGGCCAGTTTTTCCGGAAAATCTGTCACTTTTCCAGAAAACTTGCCAGCTGTCTCCACTGGCTGCTTGAATTTCCGCAAAAGCACTGACTTCCTACGGTAAGAAATCAGTGCTTCTTGTGGAAATACTATTCTGCTCCCGTTCAGGCAAAAGTCCCTTTTGCGCAAAGCTTTTGCGCAAAAGGGCCAGTGTAGACAGCTCAGATTTGTTTTCCGTAAAAAAGCCCCGATCGCGAAAATGGTGATCGGGTCTTTTTTGCGGAAAACCGTGTCTAGATTGGCACGGACGCTTTTCCGCAAAAAGTGCTTTTGCGGAAAAGCATCTGTGCCAATCTAGCCGCTCTGTTCCGAAAATGCTTTTAACGGAAAACTTTTCTGTTAAAAGCATTTCCGGAAAATCATGCCAATCTAGACGCAGCCTTGTAGTGTAGACACAGCCTATGAAATGAATGATTATGTCACTTCTCCCCACTCCCTACCAGGATTCTGAAATCAAATCAACCGGGATTCTTTTAAAAAAAAAAATCTTAAACATGAGGGGCTGGTCTACCCTGACAGGTTAGATCTGCATAAACCATTAATAGAAGAACTCTTCTGTTGACCTACCTACCTAACACCTCTTCAGCGGGATGAAGAGAACCCTTACGATGAGAGAACCCTCCGCGGCCAGTGTCAGTAGTAGTTCTTCATTGCAAACACAGCAGTGCCGTTGCTGAGTTTTAAGTTTAGACATAGCAAAGGTGTGATTGGGCAAGATAACACAGACCCACAACTATAAAATAATCAAACTGGTTTAAATCAAGAGCATGGCTCTGATCCTGCATTCCACATTCACCCAACCAATTTCAAAGGGTGTTTTAGATGGTTACTGGGATCAGTCCTTTCCTAATCATCTAGATGAAGGACTAAGGTTTTTATATATATAACCAAACAGAAATGATCGACAAATGTCTGAAAAAAAAATTTTTTTATTGGAGTTTGGGTTTTTTTAAGCAAAACATTTAATTAGACTTGCAGAAGAAATAGCAGTCAACTTAGACACAAAATCCGTATTGTAAAAAGGGTATTAGGGTTGTGGTATACTTGTTAAGATCCTTGGTTTTTAAATAAAAATGCTCTCTGGGCTGGAATTTATTGAATTGGAATCTTCCAAGAAAAATAATTTCTGGAGGCTCATTTGCTCCTTTTTGCTGCATATTGAGAGGGGAGGAAAAAAAATCAGAGAGAAAATGGATATGAGCATGGGCAGGGGTATGAGCATCACAGCAGGGGCAAAAAACAGACACGTCTGCCCCCACTACTTTCAGCTTTCTGTGAGCTGCCCCATGCTCCCCTTTCCCCCACAGCCCCACTCTGCCTCTTTCCTTCCTCACCCTATCACCTCCCTCAAAGCTCTGCCTGCACCCCGCTTCTGTCTGCCCCCCATTCCAGCCCCTCCTCAGAGTATGCCCCACCATTATTCCACCTTTTCCCATCCTCCTCTTCCCCCTTCCTCCTAACACGCCCCACCCACTGCACAGCTGGGTGGGCAGGTGGTGCTGGCAGGGAGGGGAAGGATCTGGATCAGCAGAGCCCAGTTAACAGCTGCTTGGTGGGTGGCCTCACGCCTGCCTCACTGTTTTTGTTTCTGTAAATGATCCAGCCCTGAAGCACCCACACAGTTGGTGCCTATAGTCCCCACTGCTACACAGACACTTGCAACCTCTCATCCACCACAACACAAGAGCTCAGCTGCACCTGACTGCTCACAAGAGAGGGTGGAGAAGTCAGGAAACAGCTGTTCTACTTGGCACACTTCCCTTGAAAACTAGCCTGTTATTTGCTCTGGGCATCAGAAGCTTCCTTTTTTTGGGCAGTTTGCTACACCCTTGAGGGGATCTGCAAGCCCAAGAGGCCAGCCAGTGGGAGGAGGTAGAGGTGGGGGTGGGCGTAGACTGCTTCAGGGTTTTCCCCTGCTTATGCAAGAATCCCCAACCACACTCCCCTCAAATCTGCAGAGTGGATGTGACAGAACAAAAGGCACACAGCTGTTTTTAGCATGTCCTTCCTCCAGCAACATTTTACCTACACAAAGGAGGCCATTCACATTCTGAATCTGTGGAGCCTGTATTTGTTAGAGGGAAGACTATACACAGAAAGCGCAGATGCACTTAGAAGGGCTCTCTTTAAAACACATTATTTAAGATCACATGGAAATTCACCCTTATATGCCAAAGGCTGACAGCTCCTAGGTGCCACTTAAGGCTTCAAAATACGGCCTCGGAAGGTATCCAGACCTTAGGGGTGAATTTCCTTCTTGCTTGCATTCTTATCGCAGGTGCACACTTTGCTTTGCATGTAACCAGTTAACCAATATGCTGTCTTGGTTAAACTCCTGGCAGTTGCAGCAGCCCACAGGCCTGGCCTCCAGTGGAGCGTTTAACTGTGAATTTCAATTGGTTCCACAGCATTTTTTTTTTTTAATTTTTACTTCTTGACTGAAAGTTCAAAAACAGGGTACTGTCCTCTGTGCATCACTGTACAGCATTAGTTCTTAGCAATGACTTATGGGAAACTAGGACTCTCAATTGGGGTGTGAGACAGATCAATGAAGGCAAAACTTTTTTTTAAAATGTATTTTCCCTCCAATTCCTTTTCGACCTGGACATTTTCCACACATTACACCTGTTCCAAAAATTAATTTTCTATGCACAATATTTTAAAATTCTGCAAATTTTGTCAATAAATAAATGCTGAGGTTCCAACATGGCAGTGAGGATCATGGGCCACTGGCTGCCTGAAGGTGAAGATCACCCTGCAGCCTCCCCTCTCCCCCAGGTTATGGACTCAGTGGTGAGGCTGCACCTAGCCCTGACAGCACAAGGCCTAGGTAACACCCTGGAGTCATGTGCTCTGCACTAGGTGCGGAGCAGGTCCTGGTGTGGAGGGGCTCAGCACCGAGGAGATCCAGATGCACAGTGAGAGGAGTGTGTGGGGGTCAATCTGGGTGCAGGCAGCTCACTGGGGGTTCTAGGTGGGGAGATTCAGATGCACAGAGGCTTGTTGGGTGGGTTCCAGGAGCAGAGTAAGGAGACTCTGCAGCAGTTTCCAGGTGAAGTTTGTTGGGGGCAGAGAGGAGTGGGTGTGGGGGGTCTCAGTGAGGGAGAGGCCTGCGTTATGGGTGCAGCCAGTTGACTGTCAATGGTGTGAGGGTCTGGATGTGGTGACTGGGGTAGATAAGTGGAGGTTTGAACGCAGGGAACTCAGTGGAGTGTGGTCTGTGTCCATGGGGTGAGGGCCCTTAGACAGGGGGTCGGGGCATAGAGAGGCTCCAGCTGTAATGACTGAGGTTCAGTGGAGTGGGTTTGGGATAGAGGGCTAGGAGAGCTCTGGATGCACCAGATGAGGTTTGGCAGAGGCGTACTGATATGGTAGGCCCAGATGTACTGTGTTGGGTGTATAGGGGTGGGGATTAGGGTTACAACAGGGAAGTGATGGAGGCAGGAAGCCAGGGAGGATGCTGAGCTTCATCCAGCTGCTGGATGGTCTAACACAGCTCTAGCCACTCCTTTCAGGGGAAGAGAAAGTCCCATCCTCTCCTGCCTCCTACCAGCTGATCCTGGCTCAGGGCAGAAGTTATTGGTTAGATGTGTTCCCAGATATGTTGTGATTTACCCCTCTGCCAGCTACTCCGGTTGCGTACAACCTTGTACTTGCACTGCTAAGGAGTGGTGTGTGACTTTTCTTACAGCTTCCCTTTGCTTTCCTATCAGAAAATTAATTTTCTGCTGGGAAGCAAAGAAATCTGCAGGAGACATTAATTCTGTGTATGCATAGTGGTGCACAATTTCCCCAGGAGTAACAAGTGTGAAAGACATACAGCTGCAAAAGGTCTGTCCAGGCCTCCTATACCCTCATTTCCCTTTGCAGGACATGGGGGAATTGGTGGTGTTGCTGAACTCATCACATGCATGCCACAAAAACGGGCACCGGTGCTCAATAGGTGGTTCAGAGTGAACCGTTATGAGTAGGCATACCACTAATGGCTGAAACTGGGCTTAAAATAAGAGGATGCCGGTTTAGCTCAGGAAATATGAACTCCTCAGCTGCAAAAGATTTAGCTGACCAATGTTGCCATCTTTCAATATGCTCGATATTTTACTTGAGGCCTCCATTCCAGGAGAGAAGTGATTACATCAGAATCTCAGCTTTCAAAGGCAACTTTCTAGCCTCACGGTGGTGGAGGTGACAATGAAAAATCTGACGTAAGTGCACCATAAAGGCTCGAAACCCAAACATCATATAACAGTCCCCCACATTTTAAAAGAATCTCATGATGAAGCCACTCTCAGAACTTTAAAATACTGGGTTTCACAGTACTGGTGCCTAAATAGTAGAGATCATTTAGTAGAGGTCAAACAGTTTTCTAGTCCTTGCCTGGATTCTAAATTCAGATTTGCTATCAACACTGTTTAGAGGTTCTGTTCTATCTTTGTCAAGATTGCTCAATCAAAAAATAAACCTGCTGTCTCATGCAGCAGCTCCTACCTTAAATTCCAGCAACTTAAAAAAAAAAAATCCAGGCTGGGAGTCAACAACCTTCTGCAGGACCTAGCAGCCCAGCATGGGGTTGGGAGCAGCCCCTATCTGCAGTGGGCCTGGAATTTTACATCCCTAATAGCAGCATCATTGCTTAAGTGCTACAGCTACAGCATTTTAAGTGTAGACCTACCTTTAGTGTAATTTCAGATACATCCCCACATCAGTCACTTTTTTAGCCCCACTCTTGCCAAACCTTACATAAAGCTATGTGTGTACTTAATTGATTTAAATGTGTGTTAAGGATGTGAACAACTAGTTAACCAGTCACTTCCCTCCCCCCATCCTGGCCCTTGCTGCCTCTACCAGAAAGATAGAGTTGAGCCAGGCTACATGCAGTATTTCAAAGCAGCAGCTCTGTGTGGAGCGCAGAGTCAGCTGGGGACTCCCCCGCTGACCACAGGCTCCATGTGGTGCTGTAGCTTTAAAACACCACATGGAGCCAGACACCAGGCTCCCTGTGACATTTCAAAGTGGCAGCGCTGCACAAAGTCTGTAGGTCAGCTGGGGAACCCGAGCTCCATGCAGCGCTGCTGCTGCTTTGAAACACCATGGAGAGCAGGGGGCCAGTGGGGACTGCTGATTCCCCTGCTGACCCAATGTTCCCCACAGGGCTGTTGCCTTTGAAGTGTAGCAACAGCCCTGGGGCTGTTAAAGGGGGAGGTGCCCTTATCGTCTAATCAAATAGTTGATGCCAATTACATCAACTATTCAATTAGCCAAATAATCAAAATTTTACATGTGTAGAGTTACATATGTCCTTAAGGGAGAATAGAAATGGGTCAGTAAATTAGATATCTGTTTAACGCTTTTCTCAGTTGTGCAATAATATTGTGTGGTCTAGCTTACTATTGTGAATTTGAAATGTTATACATAATGCTAAAGAAAGAAATACATACAAGATAATACTGTGACATTTCATAGAGTTTATCAAAACTAGCTGCTTTAAAATTTGCTTAAGATGATGAAAAATATTTAGGATATAAGAATTTACCAGTGTTAGCAACTCAGTTTTATCACAAGGCCATTTCAATATTTGGTTTTGGTTTTTATATTTTTCCTTAAAGCCCCAGTTCCTGGAATCATGATTATCTGAGATTCTCACATGGGTTCTGTTTGTTTGCTTTAAAGGAAGTTTCTAGTGTTCATGGCTATAGAGGAAAGTCATAAAGACTCAGTAAATCTGAGTTAAATCATGAGATTTTCAAAAAATATTCTCATAATTTTGGGGGGCCTGACATTTTTAATGCTTCAGGTTGGCAATGCTGAGTGGTCCTGAGTAATAAAATGCTAGAAAACATGTAAGACACAAGTTACACAAAAAAGGAAAATAAATTTGAAAGTATAACTTTAAAACAATCTTCAGTTTTTATATTTTTAGGTTCAAGAATGACAAAGTAGCTAATGCCAAATCTTGGATGAAATGTTGGAATAAACACTCAAACAAGAGCTCTAGTAACAATGCAAAATAATGCTTTCCAGTCACTCATCTGGTACTAGTCAAACAAGCAACCACCTGTGACCAACATCACTATGACTACCACTTTATGTAAACAACCTGTCTCTACATTAGCTTGTCCTCCCAAATACTCTCTCCCTCCCACATTTGTTTATTCACTTGTTACAGAATTTCCAACCCCAAACAGGGTTAAAAAGAACCCACTCCTGTGACCTAAGAACCATGACACCGTTTTATTTGCCTTGTGCTCCGATCCTTCAAGGTGTCCCCGGGGTCTTATTTTCAAGCTCTATGCACCATTGTAAGAGCTAGATTTTTTTTTTTTTGCTTTTGTTTTTTTAATGAAAAGGTGAACGTCTCATGAAATCGGTTGATAGCAGCTGCAGCTTTAAAGAAAAACACACCAGCTATAATGAGACCTGCAATAAAACTCATGGGAGTTGGCAAGACTTTTGTTGCATATTATCTAAAATCTATCTTGTGAGCTCTCTGGGACCAGGACTATCTGTTTGTGTCTATGTTTGTGTAGTGCTAGGCCAGTGGCTGGCATGCTAGAATTACGATATACATATTCTGAATGCAGTAAAGTTTAGCATCAAATGAGAAACCCACTACTAAGCTTCTAGTTATTAAATTAATGTTGCAAATATTAGAAGTGTAATACTGTATGATCTTTTGCCCTTCTGAGCAAATTGTTCCTTAACTGTACATTGTAAACAAGAGAGCAGGCAAAAAAGGCTGCTAGTATTCAACCAAAACTCACCACTCAAGCAGAAAAAGTGTTGCAGAAGATGAAGGTAGGTTTTCCAATATCTACATTAATACAACTCAAAAGCAGCGTGCTAATTTGCTTCTTCATTCCTACCAGAATCTTGTTCTCTGAAATTCTCCCACCCCCTTTTTCTTTTAGATGCATATTCTAAGGTAGCCTCTTTCTACACCCCCCTCACACACAAACAGTTTGAGCAGCTGCCTTCACCTCCAGTGAAGCATCTTAAGTCTCTCTCTCTTATCCAGCCTTATTTACTCTGGAACGGTTTGTAGTTACTGCACCTACAGTTCTAGTTACAAAGGTTCTAGTCCATAAAGAATTTGAAAAGAAAGATACTCACCTGTGTGCACATTCTGAACATCCTCTCCTATAGACCAAATACTATGAAAATTCACTCCCTCCCACTTTTGAAGTTCAAAGTGCAAAAAATCAGCAGCTGTCCAATAAATTACATACTACATTTTTTGATGTTTTGTCATTACCCCTTGTAACACTGAAAAAAATGCAGAATTAAAATCTTACATATGTCCTAACACGCTCCATAATTTATGGACTGCCTCATAGTAATTCACTCTCTTCAGGAATCTTGTTGCAGCACCGTTCCATTTTGCAGTGCAAATGAACCTCTAACTATGTTTTAACAATGACTCAGCCTTGTGCAATGTCCTGGCATGATTCAGGAATGGAACGGAAAGGTCTTGTTTATACTACAAAATGAAAGCCTGTTACCACCAGTTGGGGACAAACTTCTGTATTGGCTTTGCATAGCAAATCTGTACTATTCAAGAGGCACTATATAGGATGGGAGTACAGGGTGGAGGGAGGGAAATCAGGAACCCAAGTAATGATGAGCATGGCCTTGCATGTGTTCATCTCACAAGAGCTGGATCAACAATAACAAAAAAACCTAATATATAAACAGCAGTAACTTGGATACCTCAGTCCCCACACACTCATCTGTGTCATTTAAATTGGGGGCAGCCATTTCCTGAGCACCTAAGGAGTTTGTCTGTTGTCCTTGGCTTCATATGCAGATATATAAAGCATCAGTGCAGGATTTAGGAAGTTGCTGAAAAATACCTATTCTCATATCCTTTGTTACTGGGATACCTCTAAGTTCCTGCTTGACAGCCTAGTGTCTTGTCAGTTGCTGACTGCATGTGTCCTCCCTGCATGCTGCACTAGTTCTGGCAAAAGTTTCAGAGGGGTAGCTGTGTTACTCTAACTGAAAAAAACTCAAAAAATTAATAACCAATGATCTTGTAGCACCTGAGTAACAAAAAAAAATGTAATGGTATCATGAGCTTTCATGGGCATAACCAACTTCAGATGAATTTTTTAGATGAAGTGGGCTGTGCCCATGAAAGCTCATGATACCATCTACATTTTGTGTTAGTCTCTAAGGTGCTGCAAAACTATTTGTTCTTATTTTTTTAAAGTTAGTTCTGGCCAGATAGCCCATACGGCAGCCTTTGATGGAACTGCCCCAGACAACCACAGAATCAATTTGGGAAAAGGCACATGGTCAGGTTTATCCCCAACAAAGCACAGTATTACACTCCATACATGTATGCCTTTAGGAACGGACTTTCTGCTCCCCCCTCAGCCAAAGACACCACCTCTGTGACTCCTCTTTTATACACTGATACAAACAAGTTACATATTTAACCAGATCAGAGGGGAATTACTACCCTTTACCCTGTACACACCCGTTTGTTCAAAACATCTCTGTCCATCGCCCTGTCATCCTGCAAGCAAGTACTGCTTTGTGGGGGAAGAGGCAAAGGACAGGAGAGGCTTGGCCTCAGGGTGGAGCCTTGGGGAAAGGGACTTGGGGCAGAGCCTGAGTGGCCTAGGGAGCAGAGGCCTGGTCTGGGCTTTGGGGCCCACACAAGCTTAAGCTAGTCCTGTCTTCCTTTGCCTAGCTCCCTGACTAGTGTACTAGCTGTTGTTGATCTCATTCTAAAGTGCTTCTCTCTCCTCCCATTCATTGAATGGGGAACTGAGATACCTAACCCAGTTTTGTGGATCACGGTATATTCCTGTGATTTTCTAGGCACCTGAAAGTTAGGTATTGAAATGTTGAGTGTGGTAGAGCCCAAGTCCTTGTGTGAAGCTGAGCCTTAGGGGCTGCTTCCAGAGGGGCACAGACCTACCCTGTTATCTCTTTGTTTTGTTCAAATGCTACATCGTTTACTTTTATATTAATATGCACAGTGCTTCAAAAATCATTTAAATCTATTTTGAAATGCAACCGATTCATTTCATGAACACTGACATTTTTGTTTCAGGCTGGGGAAGGACATGCAGCAGGAAATACCAATGACATGTACTCTAAAAACATCAGTGTAGTAGATTTAGCTTACCCCACTTAATTACAACAAAAACTGGAACTGAAACTCGAACTGTCATTATCTTAGAGCACAGTACTATGGACATACCTACCCTTTCCCTTAAGAAAAATACACTTTTGCTGCATGTTGCTGCTCAACTTTATGCATGGATTAATCAATAGAACTGCATCTGCATAAGCATTTGCAGGATGAAGGCCTTAGCCTGAATTGAGTAACATTGGTGACCTTTGTCTTTATTGATAAACATGCTTCTTTATAATCTGAACAGGAAAAAGGGGGATAGTGATATTTAAGTTTATACTGCACTTTGTAGTACCAAAGCCAGAATTTGCCAAGTGCCCTAATTAGATGAATCAAACTGATTTTCTCCAAAAACAAATACAGTGTTAATATTAAGAAAACAGCTACTGTTTTTCCTGTGTAAAAGCACGACAGCTCATAAATAAAGCATGAGAAAAACAAAAGGAGTAAAACTATGCCAGCCCCCAAAGTACCTTAAGGTTCATTTACCTGTCAGAATGATTTTCCCAGTGAAGGAAACTGCTTGCTCACATGAAACAAGTGAAGCAATTTACATGTGCACCATTCATTCTTTCCCATGTAATTTTTCCATTGGGCTATAATTTACTATGTCACAGGACTTGAAGGTCACAGCTATATGCTGAGTAGGTTCTGATTGCAACAATAACGGTGAACCAGCCTTTGACAATTCTTGATTCTTCACTACTAGAAAATAAGATATGGTGGATAATTAAACTCTTGGAATTAAAGATTTGTCAGTTAGTACACTTTGAAGGGAAGGTCTGGGTATTCTCGGAGTCTGAAACCAGGTCTACTCTATAAAAGTGTATCAGTATGTCGCCCATGAAAAACCCACACCCCAGAGCTCCACGGTTATATCAACCTAACCCTCTGTGTAGACAATATCACACTGATGGCAGGACTTTTCCTGTTGACACAATACTGCCTCTCGAGGAGTGGATTGTTACTCCAACCGTAGAACCTCTCCCATTGGCATAGTAGCATTTTCACTGAAGCACTACAGTGACACAGCTGCACCACTGCAAGTGTGCTGCTGCCACTTTTTAAACATAAACCTTCCCCAATCAACTTACTACTGCTGTATTAAAAACCACACAGCTTGAAAATAACATTAAAGGAATGCTTTCATACTTCTGGCTATGTATACAAAATATCATTCAGGTATGTCTGTTTAACTAGCATTGATACCTTTCTGGTTTATCCAGAAGAGAAAAAAATTCTACAACCACCACATGGGTCTTTCTATTTAGTTCCTTGGCTATTAGGGAGATAAACAATTTGCAGAAGCCTCTCACTGCTATCCCTCTCCCCCTTCTATCATCCACTTACAATTTGATTCTACAAGATGCTGGCAACCTGAGAACTCAAACTGCCACAGAAACTGATGAGAGAGAAAAGGATCAGGGCTCAGGGCAGTGAGCCCTTAAACCAAGTATAAAAAGATTTTAGTGGTTTAATATGAGTATT